ACCTCCCGCCTACCGCTTTACTCTCCCACCAAAAGTATTTTACGGAATTTTTAGAACGCTTTAAAGTAAGCGATTTGTGGCATTTTGGGTCTTAAAAACCCTTGTAACTTTTTAATCTGAGGGGTCCCGCAACTTTTGAAAACGGATTCGGAATCAGCGAAAAATTCTGCACCAGGTGTGATATCTGACGAAACGAATTTCCACTTCGACCATAAGATGGTTACAGTCAGGTAATGGTGTATCTCACCATTTGATCAGAATAGCACTGCCCAATGTTCCCAGGTATTTAAGCTTCAATTGAAATCACAACGGTTTTACTCAGAAATTGACTTGGAAAGAACCAATCGCATTGATCTTTATTAACTCAATTAATCGAATTATGACGAATTCTTGGTCATCAAGGCTGGTAGCGGCACTTATACTGCAGCCATCGTGTAGTCCATTTTGTAGTAGTTTTTGCTAAATACAAGATTTCGCTGTATTCCTAACTTCTAACCTGAACTGCAGGTACCCATATTTCTCACTATTACGTTCCATCTCATCGTAGAAGCGCAGCGAAATTTGGCAAAAGTTTGGCCGGTCATCAGGGGCTTCCAGCCAGGCCTCATTGCAAATTTTAGCGCTAAAAACGAGGCAGTTTTCGACGGACACCTAATTACATCCATTCTGGCGTGTCTTCTGGAATCATCAGTCGTTTCTCCGATTTTAAATGGGGTAGAACATCTTCTTGATTGAGCGAATGGAATGGCGTTTTGCCAAATGAATACATCTCGTAGAGGAGGATGCCAAATGACCAGCTGCAAGTTAAAAAAGTCTAAATTCGAAAAATTTGCACCTACACATCAGATTTCGTCGAAAAATTGGCAAATTCAATCGATTATGGGGCCATCCATTTGATGGGTAATTTCCCGCCGCGACTGTGATAAAAGAGTTCTTCTGAATGTCGGCAAAGTCCGAAATCCGAGAGCTAGATTTGGTTTTTGTAATCATTGAGTTACGTTAGGTTACTTTAGCCATTTTATGTTTATTCAGCAGCACATTTCTCGCTGCAACATCGCGATGAATTATGTGTTTGCTGGCGAGGAAAGTCTAAAAATACTGTTATTTCGTTCTCTGAAAGTAATTTAGTTTTACTGGAAAAGCTTACCAAAGCATCACTGATTTGCCAAGCAATTGGAACAAGATCATTAAATTCCAGAATCCTACTATATATAAAAAAATAGTGTTTGTGTGTGTGTGTGTGTGTATATTTGCATGCACTTCCGTTAGGATGTTCCGCTCCTACAGCCTCGGGGAAGGGTTTTTTGGATAGGGGAAGAAGCGACAATGGGTTTAGAATGGTCCGGAATCGACTGCACACACATAAAAATTTTGAAAAATTGTGGTTTTCGCTATTAAAAATAGGTTTTTGTAAAACCCGCTTTGTTAGGGCAATTAGCATACGCCGGAAGTGGAAATAGCCTATATATCGGCGAAGAGAGGGCGTTTTCATTTTTTCCGTACCGGAGTTGGGGAGAAGCATGCAAATCAAAAACTTTCACAGGACCCAGTTGCAGAGCGTTCAAAAGACGCGGAGGATTTTCAAAATTGCCATTTTCGCTGTTAAAATCAGGTTTTTTGTGAAATTTCTAACCCCCCGCCACTTTGTGGGCTATTTGCATATGCGCAAGGGTATTGGCCGGTTTTTCTCCATGCCGTTACTGCGATGGGTGCGTTTGAAAATCTTCGCGAGAGTTAATCCGGTCCGGGGTTCGCCAGGTGGCTAAGAAACTTTTTGGTGCTTGCCTGTTAAAGGGATGGAGGATAAATTTTTCTCCAGCACGATACGGACCATAGGAACATGCCTACGGATATTGTCACACTTTACGTGATTTCTTTCCGAACATAGCACAACGAACATTTGCATTCGGAAGTCGACCGTGATAAACATCTGTATGACGGTATAAAATGAACGAGGGCGATACATTCTACTAGATCTTCCGACCTCCCTCTAAACCCCTAACTAGGGGGGCTGGGAGGGGGCTGCAGGGGGTTCGGAGGGGGTTGGGAGGGGGGTCCTTAGAGGGGTCCGCCCGGTGAAATGATATACATATATGAAGATCTTTTCAATTTTTGGCCTTTTAATCAATTAAAATAAGTAAAAAACTATCAGACAATAGTTTACAACCCCCAGGTGAATATATTTTCAGCTATTTTGGCCCTCAACTCGTGTTTCCTGAGTGCTTTTTAGCAATTCTAACCGGTTCCCACCGGTTTTTTTGTCGGTAATGTGGTTAGCAAGCACCAATGGTTGTCCCACAATCTTTACAGCACAAATTTATAATGTTTCGATAAGTTTTACAGTTTTTTCACCAAAATTGTCCTAAAAATTGAGTTTCATGGGCAGTTGACCGCATCTGAATGATTGTTTATATTTTCGAGTCAGGTGAATCATTTATAAACCACATCTGAGCCCAAAACCGCGTTATTTGACTAATTGCGCCAAAAACTATGGGTGCGCCAAATTGGGGCTTAGGGGGTTGGGAGGGGGCTGTAGGGGGGTTCGGAGGGGGTTTTAGGGGCTGGGAGGGGGGTTGTATGGGGGTTCGGAGGGGGTTTTAGGGGGTTGGGAGGGGGTTGTAGGGGGTTCGGGGGGGGGTTTTAGGGGGTTGGGAGGGGGTTGTAGGGGGTTCGGGGGGGGGCTTAGGGGTCCGGAGGGGGTTTAGGGGGTTCGGGAGGGGGGTTGGAAGGGGGGTCTGGAGGGGGTTTAGGGGGGAGGGAGGGGTCTGGGAGGTCTTCATCCTACTATATATAAAAAATAGTGTTTGTGTGTTTGTGTGTGGACACTTTGCATAAATGGCTCGAAAAACCGGGTTACCAAGATATCGGGCAGGGGGAAGAATTTTGGGACCGGACGAGACGAGAGGTATTTAGGGGTGGTCGAGGGCATAGATTACTGCAAGCTTATCAGATTTTAATAAAATGACGATTTATACCTTATTTTAGCCAATGAAAAACATATGGAAATAAGCTCATTTGCATAAGAGCGTTAGGAAGCTCATTTCGGATTTTGTCACGCTCTCAGACGGTCGGTTTTGTGATTATTAGGGTTGAGAGGTTGGCGCTAATTCGCTAGAATTATGCAAAGTGCCCAGCTTCGAAAGATCTCCGCGCAAAGGCCAGGGGTGAAAAGCCGCGTAGCGGCTTTTCAACCCTGGTTTTTATCTAAAACTCGTCTTGCTAGTTTTCAAAATCCGCCTCCTCAACCTCATTTGCATCCTGTGCCCCCAACTTCCGCACCAATGTCAATAGATCGCCCAATTCACAGTGTTCCGTCAAAATCAGCGGGAATTTCGCGTCACTCGAGCACCCAATTAACGATAGAATATGTGGGTGATATTCCAGCTTTTTCATGAATTCGATTTCTTGCAGGAATTCCTTTCTAAAGTGGGTTTCTCCTAAGGATTTCGATATCTTGTACCTTTCCTCTGCCGTCGAATAGCCATGAACAGTTTTCACCGCCACGTAATTTGCCTCGTTTGATAGAATGTAAGATAGCTAAAAATAATGGAATTTCGTAGTCTGTAGCTACGGACCTGCATCGAGGGATAGACTTTCGCGACTGGTGGTTTTCCCAAAAGATGACCCTTGTATACCGTAGCATAGGCGCCAGAGCCAAGCTTTTCTTCGAATATTTGCAGATTATTAGCAGAGACTTCCCACACAGAATCGTTGCTAAAATAATGTCAACCCTTAAAAGTATGGCCGTACGTTTTGCTGTCCACTCGATGAAAAGTATCTTTGAACGTAAAGCTCATCGTTTGAGACTAAAAATTGTTGATGAAGGACGTGTTGTTCCAGTTACCACTCTCCGGTCGTTCTTCATTCTGGCCATGTATTTTTGGAATCGGTCGGACTCGGCTTGTACTCGGTCGTTGATTACTTCTTTTAGGTTCGGATCGGTCCAATCGATTCTGAAAAAAAAGCTTTTCGTTTTTTTCGATGGATGAGGGAGCAGAGATCTTTTGGGAAACTTAGGGACCAAGGTATAAATGGGGGTAAAAGATAAAGATAGACGACGCACCCGCGCAAATTTGGCCACCAACAACATTGTCGACACCAACAGCAGAAGCAAACGACGGCCCCGATTAAGGCTGCAGAAAAAACGAGCAGCGAAAGGAGCACGATCTCCCAAACTGGGAATTTCTTGGAGGGCTTTGAAAACGAGGGGAGTTTCCCTAAAAATTGCCTTACAAACGTCGACTTATGGAAACGACATAAGATACCGGGTTTCGAACCCTAATCCAAGAAAACAACGCCGGCAAACCTCTCCCGAACGAACCTGCCGGCATCGGCGGGCACATGCCATAGGTATCCATAATTGCAATATCATTCAAGTAGTCCTCAGCAGACTTAAAAAATGCGGTTCTCGCGTTCAAGGGGCTCGAGAACATACAGCTTCAAAGTATTGTCCGACGTCGCTGAGCTCGCCGATCTTCTGTAGCGTGGTGTTGTCCTCTTCTCTCAGTAAATCGGCCTGGAAGGTCAAATGGGTCCACCAACATTTACCTACCTGAGTCCACAAAAATCGGACGATCGTGTAAAAACTATCCGGCGGCATTCCTTCTATGATTCCGGTCAATCGGTCAAAGAAATCCGGCTTCACTTGGGTGACTACAAATCGAGGCTTTGCGATTCATTGCAGGGCTTAGGTTTGGCTTAGGCATAAGCTTTGGCTTTCACTTTAAACTTACAATTTCCTGATCCAACATTTGTAATAACAAACAGCACATTTTGATAGTCCTTCTTTACAGCAACAGGGCTGTGGAGGATGGATTGGATTTGATCAAGTAAAAGCCCAAGGTCAGTATCACTAAAATAATAAAAAAATAATAGGAATCCCTCAAAATTTGTATTACTTGAACAATCGATGGAATCGAGGGAAATTCTGGATTATTGCCTGCCGATCGGTGCTGACGGTCATTGGTAGAAAGGTGTGATCAGTGTCAGATTGGTCGACGATGGTAAATACACTAAAGTTGACAGGTAACGGAGTATTAACAATCTGCTATTATTACCTCTGATTTTTACCCAAAACCTCATCAGTTTCCACACATTGGGCCATTATTCTTTGGACCATATTTAAATGCGCGTTGACATCCGGTTCGCATTCTAGCAGTAGGTAGACAAAGAGCTTATATTGCGTGACGCAGATGGATTTGTCGGCGAATGGGGATACTAAAAAATAGCTATTAATAAACTAAAAAGGAAATCTTAAATATTGGGTTGGACCGAAAGTTCTTGCAATAAATTTGACTCTTTCATATTTTCTTTCCAGAAAACGAGTCAGAAATAAAATGTTTTTGCGATAGACGCATGCACTATCAAATGCTCTATTTGGCCCGGGGCTCGGAATCAAAAGGCGTTTCCTTTAGATTTTTCCGTTGGATTTACAATAAACTGGAACATCGCCTCGTTCCGCCGTTCTCCAACACGTTCCGATTTACTTCCTTGCCTCTTTCGGCATTAAATGAGTTGCGAAAACGCTTATCATGATAGTATCCCATTCCTATGGTAACTTTATGGCTCTTCGGAAAGATGTCAGGGTCTAAAATTTGAGACCCCTCAGACAAAAACACAAAAATAATAAAAATCTCTGGGGCTAAAAGCTTGTAATTTTTATCCAAGATATTATTGAAGTCAACAAATATATTAAAAAAGAAACAACCTTGGCGGTGCACAAAACCTTTGGAGAGGAATTTCTGAAGTTCGATTATAATGACTTTCGGTCCAACCTAATAATCGAAAATTCTTAAAAAAAACACAATGGCTAGTATTTTAGCTAGAGAAAAATGCCAAAAAGTGCACTTACAATCTCCACAAACATCTCCAGTATAATTGCCACCTGGATAACTAGAAGTTGCAACGGAAAGAATGAAAAAGCACAATACGAATATAGAAATTTTACAGCCCGAGTCATGTCCTTTAACCCTGTAGACCCCGGGCTCCCTTTATCAAAATGAACCTTTCCCGGCATCACACACCCGTAATGCGCTTAATTCCCAGTCAGTCGATACTTTGGCCCCCCGTCATCTTGATGCTGAAAATTGTAATAATTCTGCTTTTCGCTTTTATAGCTATTTCGCTGGCCGTTGAATGCGTGGTTGACCAGAATTCAAAAGGGGAGTACCATACGGAGCAGGTGAGCGGATTTTGATGCATTAATGGCCGTGAATCGGGTTTTTCAGCTCAACAAGTTATTTAGAAAGAGGAATTTATCTCAAAACATATTTGAATGGTGCTTTAAAAATTTTTCAGGCCACGGGCGTACGCTGCCACGTCTGGTGCAAGTACTGTCTGAAAAAAGTGGTAAGGAATTTTTTCATTTCCTGAATCCCTTTTTTGACTTGAACTTTGGATCCGATGACGCTGTTAAGTAATGAATTAAGTGTTGTAAGCGATTAATAAGCCAATTTATATACATTAAATACCGCAAACAATTTTTGCTGCAAACAATTTCACTAAAAATTCTGGAAGAAAGTCTAACTACCCTTTTTTAGTACGACACCAAATCGTGGGGGGTTGACGGATTGGAGCTGTGGCTGTGGAAGTACTACAAAAGATATCTTTTGTAATGTAGGTTTTTTTGGGTAAATTTTTATTGTCTAAGAAATCGATCCTACATTTCCGATTTAGGGCACCTGGGAACGGTACCAAAAGGAAGGAAACCAGTTCTACTGCTGCGAAGGAGACTATTGCAACTCTAGCAATTTCCCTAGTATCTTGATCGCCCTCTTGTCCACTTTGCTCGTTTTCCTAATAAATTATTGATCCGTGTCGAGGCGTGGGATTATCGGACATTTCATCACAATCGAGATTCCGCACGGTTACTCATGCCAGTCAGCCCACATCCCCACCCCGAAAATGTTCGTCAGCTTCCTGTCCAAACTATATTTCGAGCAATCACTAATCTTCATATTCCTTATGATATATCTGGTGACAAAAGCTTATCGATATGGAAAAGCCGGTAAGCTTGCCCTAAAATTCAAATTTATTTTGATCTTTTAGAAAACGCCATCATCGTCAAACCCTGACCTGTTACTACAAATTTGTTATCATAATGTCGAAGTTTCGTAATGCCGTTTCTTCTGGGAAATTTTCTTATACAAAATTTCGACATTATGGATTTCGGTATTATCAAATTTCGACATTCTGAAAGCGGCCCTTTTGTAATGAATAAATGTTTTAAAAACTGAGATTTTTACTAGACATCCACAAATTCCTGCAAAAATTTTTGAAAAAAAAATTAAAAACTAAAAACCTAAAAAAACCTAAAAACTGGGAGAGAATGCACTTCGTGATAATTTTTTTCGCAGAATTTATTTAATGTTTCTGCTCGGCTAGTTCAATATTTTTTGCATCTTTTATGGCGTGAAGCCCTCTTTCTTTTGTTTTTCTTTTCTTTCCAGCCGGTTGCTTCTGTAATAATACCAATCCTATAATGCACTGTATTTCGGCGAGCTGACCAAATTAGCACTTCCTTTTGCCAAGAAATCATGTGTAGTGAAGGTGAAAGTCACAAAAACTCACGAGAATTAGAGCGTTAATCATTTTCACAGTGATGAATTCGTGTGATTTCTATGAATGTACCTAGAAGCTTTCTCAATCGGGGATCTCTCCGGTTTGTTGAACCTAAAGCTTCACAGTTTGCCAGCCACTTGAAAATGGTTCATCTGGGTCTGCATATACTTCGTATCGGCCTTATCCCAATCCCAATCTTGGCAAATCTGGTGCTGCTTTACTTCATCTTTCGATTTTCCAAGAAATCAATGGGTAAATATAAAATCTTAATGGCAACTTTTGCAACGTTTGATATTTATTTTTCGACCATTTATCTCGTGGTTGGGCCGGTAAGACTCTTAGATATCACTAAAACTACAAAATTTTTAGAGTTTTTACATTTACCGAAATTGCGTGTTCATTTTCACGACGGCTCTTTGGATAGCCGGAGCACCAAATGATTGGGACTTTCGAGCTTGTGACCTTTACGCCAGCGCCTTTGCGTTGTGCCTGGTTTTGTTGGCTTTGCATTTTGTGTATCGCTATATTGTGCTATGCAAGTGGGTTTTTGGGCTTTGTGCTCATTCGACGATCCTGGGGACGCTTCGCATAAGTTAACATTGGAAAACGACACCTACACCTTAAGTTTAATTATTTAAAGGGGTAGGGAAGCCCAGTAGATCAGAGTTAATCTAACAAGCAACAAATGGCAACAAGCCAACCGGAAATGCCAATGCAAAAAAGGGCGGAGAGTAGGAGGAGGCAGGAGGGAGAAGAAAAAAATAATTCATCTTAATTTAGAACCAAACCCTATTTATGCCAATTTTTCCTGGATCTCCCTGATCCCTTTAAGAAACAACCACTCTTGGCTGGTCGACCGCTGGGCCTCCCAATTCTGTTGGTTCTTGTTTGCCCTGTTCATGTCCTTTTGCTGGGGAGCCGCCGTGCGGTTTGGGATGTACCATGGAGATTTGGCCAAAGTGAGACTGCTTCCAAATCTTCAGAGCCAACAAAAAGGTAAAAAAAACATTTTTAAGAATTACGGGAGAGTGCAGCTGAAACGGGAATACGATTTTGACGTCGACCGAACCGGATTTGTGGCTGTTGTATACGCGGTAATATTTTAAAGGTACACCAACAGCTTTTAATTTTAGGCACCAAATGCAGAAGGGGTCGTTAAAATTGTTTGGCCAACAATGGCCGCGATCACCGTATGCCTGACTATATTGAACGGATCTTTTTTGTATGTTTCTTTTCAGGCTTCGATCTACGTTTTTTTCAGGACAATTCTATACTGCGGTACAAGCATTTTCAAAACATTAAGAAAAGGTGTGATGAGCGAAAAGACGCGACGGATCCAGAAGGACATGTTCCGAGCTTTGGTGTTACAGGTAATTTTTATCAATTAGATCAATCGCGCTGCTCTAGTGCTTGGTCCCAACGCTGTTTGATTTTCTTCCTGCTATCGTAATATTTGCCTGTCCAGTCTTCGGAATCCCAAATGGCATCGACACGAGCTTCATTTGCATAACGACTAACATCAATATTTTTCTGCAACCTGTCGTGCTTATATATTTTATCAAAGACTATCGCTATGCGGCTCTGAGGATTTTTAGGTTATTGAAAAATATAGACGAATTTTTTTAATCACCCATTATTTCAGCAAATTCACTCGTGCTACGAGGTATGTCGATCCTGGTATCACCGTTTCGGTAAGTTACGCGCCAATTTTTGGCTTAAAATCCGGGAACGCACCTTCATGAACCTGGAAAAAATATAAATATAAAAAATATATAATTGGCTTTAGACCACCGAGACATCGAAAACTACACGACCACAAGGGTCGGGGAATTAGCCAAGTGGATGCGGTGCCAGTCCATAAATCGTTTATGCTATTGATGAATTTAAGATACCGATTTCGAACCTTAAAATGGCACACTGAAATCACTCACGCAAGACCCATTTCGGGTAATAAAAAACTCACGATTTCCTTACAGAGGCTTGGATTTGGAGATCAACTCTCTTCCCCCTAACCCCGCTTCCCAAGAAGACCGATTTTCTCGGAACGACTGGAGCTGTCACGCTCGCATTTTTCTTACATAGCCCCAAAATTGTCATGCCCGGGCGGAATATAAAACCACTGCCCACCGTTTTAAGATTATCCATTGCTACCCTCAACTTGCAAAACATGAAGCCTCCCGCCTACAGCCTGGCCGTCCCTGCATATCCTGAGAACCCAAGCAAACCAAGCAAGCCCAGCAGGGGAAACTGCTGCTATTTTCCGGCGATTGTCTTGTTCGGGCTCTACTCAGCGGCCATCACATTCTATATTTGGTCCGGTTATCCAAGTTGCGAGGGATATTTTAATAGGTACCCATCCCCAAACCTTCGTCAAAATTTTAAATACCTTATAGGAACGAGATTAACGAAGCGCCTCCATCTGTGACCATCTGTCCAGCAGGTTGGGTCTATGGGGAGCAGTTCTCAAAGTGTTATTTGGTAAGCGAAGATTCAAATGTTGGTCCGAACGCCCTCGTACTTAACTTTAACTTGTATTGCCAAATTTTGACCGTATTGCGGGGGACAATCCTTCGTGTCCGATCTGCGAGGCTCGATAAGTTGAGTTTCCTAACTCGCCAAAAAGTTTTTAGCGCCGCTGTTTGCCTTTTGGCCAAAATTTTTCAGCTTTCCAGCTTTTGCTACTTAAAGGTACAGTAAGCTCTTGTTGTACCGGCGACCCGTCCGCGGGATAGCAAACAAGGTTACGGTAGCGCCCGGAGCAAAACCGAACCCTGGCTGCCAGCCTGAGGCAGCGCCTTGGACCACTAGGCCAAGGGGGAGACGGGAAGGGGGGAAGGGGAGAGGCGGTAAGAAGGGGCTGGGTCGGCTGCGGCAGAGAGCCCGAATTTCCTACCGCGACCGAACTTTATGAACGAGATTTTAGTGTACCTTGTTCTCAATCGTTTCCTTTTTAGCCGGTGTTGGGCCGTACCACCCACGACAAAGCACAACAGCGATGCAAATCTATGAATGCAGAAATGCTGACGATCAATAGCATCGAGGAAGACTACTTCGTTCTCAGTAAAGATTTCGGTCTGGGTTTTTTATCAAAACAACTTTAGATATGCAGGTCGACGACGACAAATTGTATCAAAAATGCCAGTATCTGATCCTTGGTCCGAAATTTGATAATGTGAGCCGGGAAATACAACTCGATTAGAATTAGATTTGATTTGCACCAAAGCGTTTTCCTTTTTGCAGAGCGAGCCAAGGCAGCTGCTTGGGCCAAAGGGCGAGATAGGCCTGTTCACGAATTTCTATCAAACCGAACCGAACAACAACCATGGTGAGGAGAGCTGCATTGAATCCAGGGTAAGTCATTTCGTATGCTGTAAGCTGTGTACTTGATTTAGATGTACACCTATGAACCTCCCCATCAGCCAAATACAAATTACACAGGAAATTGGAACGATTTCAATTGCAGCCATTCGCGCGATGCGTTTGTTTGTGAGATTCGTGTGTAAGAAGCCGTAACGAGGTTCAATAAAGTGTTTTGTGAACGGGTGTTGATAGCGGGACCAACGTATTTTTTTTTTTTTTTTAATTTTTTTTTTTTTTTTTTTTTTTTTAAATTAAAAATAATAAAAAAAAAAATTTTTTTTTTTTTTTAATTTTTTTTTTTTTTTTTTTTTTTTTTTTTTTTTTTAAATTTTTTTTTTTTTTTTTTTTTTTTTTTTTAAAATTTTTTTTTAAATAATTTAATCCTTTTTTTCCTTTTTTTTTAAAATTTTTTTTTTTTTTTTTTTTATTTTTTATTTTACATATAATTTATTTTTTTTTTTTTTTTTTTTTTTTTTTTTTTTTTTTAATTTTTTTGTTTTTTAAAAATTTTAAATTTAAAATTTTTTTTCTCCAAAAAAAAAAAAAATTATTTTTAAATATTTTAAAAAATTTTTTTTTTTTTTTCTCCTTTTTTTTTTAAAAAAATTATTTTTTTAAAAAAGAAAATTTAATTTCCATTAAATTTTTAAAAAAAAATTTTTAATTTTTTTATTTTTTAAAATACGACGACACGAGCCAGTTCTTAGAAAATTTGATCACGATCGTGCAAGGAAAACGCTCATATCTTTTCCCTTTCAGGACCCGTCAGGGATCACATTAAAAAGTCGATAGTTGTACATCACCAACATCTTGTCTATTGCCAGGAAATGCCGTCCTATTTTGCTCACAGCCTTCCTCTCCTCGACACGGAGAGAAAATCTCTGGCGCAGCAAGTTGCTGTACAAAACGTTCTCAGGGTTTCTGCGCCCGTTTTATCAATTTATGCGTTGGGCGTGACGATATGCATATATCTGCTCAATCGAGAAAATCAGGAACTGTGCGGGTATTTTCTGGATGCGACAGATATACGCTTAATTTTGTTTATTAGGAAGCCCGTAGCGGCCCACCAAGTCGCCAAAACTTGTCCGCCAGGATGGTTACCGGCGTCTCAATTCAACAAATGCTACAAGGTGCAAAGATCGACATCCAGAAAATCTCTTTAGGTGCACTTTGGATATTCCAATCACGCAGATGCTACAAAACTCTGCCGAACCCTTGAAGCGGAACTATTGACGCTCAATAGCATCGAGGAGGAGTATTTTGTGTTGAGTATGGGGTCATGGTTGAAGCTCTTGCAGCGCTTTTACAGATTTGCCAATCCGCGGTGAAAAACTTCATGAAAAGTGCGATTTCTTGATGTTGGGCCCAATGTTTCAGGTAAGGGATGGAAATGCCGATTTTTATTCCTTTCACACATGATTTTCGATACCAGGAAAACCAATTTTTTGCGATTTTAGGGGGAATCAAGAGAATTGGTTGGTCCGAATGGAGAGCGTGATATTTATACCCATTTCCCCGAAGGCGAACCAAATAATGTTGACGGCGTCGAGAACTGCGTGGAAATTGGGGTACGCTATTTTCACCTAGAAATTTGAATATTTTGAGATGCATCACTACAATCCACCCAGTGGATCACCAGTCAATTTCTCGGGAACTTGGAATGATTATGATTGTGGCATCTCAAGATGGGCATATGCCTACGTCTGTGAAACGTATCTACAATAGAATAAAACTTACTATATGCTTACACACTAGATTCTTGGAAGCGTTTTCAATAAATATATTTCGTATTTTCGTCACCCACCGACAGTTCAAGGTTGCCATCTCGGTTCCTGGAATAGAGCTAGCCCCAAAAAACCCTCTTTGATTGCATCCGTCTTGCCAGCTCCACGCTCTCGTCTTTCGATTTATCGCTCTTCGCCGAGTGATCATTTCCTTACATGGATTAATTAAATGCAAATTGCCTTATAATTTCGGAGATATCCACAAGAGATTGACGCAACGATGCCACCTCGAATTCAAGTATATTCGGCACTAAATCGTCAACAACCAGACTACTTGAAAAACATTTGCCAATGTGTGGCTTTTGCTCTTGCTATATATGCAATTGTCGCTACTAGTTGTATTTATTATTTATTACGAGGTGATACAACCTTGTGCGGGTAGGTGGAATCTACGTATCGGCAAACATTTTAGGATCTCTCAGGACTCGGATGACCGCAGAAAAATTAGCCGAAGTGGGCCACTGCTTGCCCGGATGGATTCCAGCCACGAAATTTTCAAAGTGTTACAAGGTAAGGTTTTTATCTGTATTACCTACTTTTTCAGCCAATATTTGGAAAGGTAACCTACAAAGAAGCCGAAGCAAAATGTGACGCGTTGAACGCGAAAATGCTGACGATCAACAGTGTGGAAGAGGAATACACGGTTTTAAGTAAAAATTTCGGGTCAACGAGTCAATTCCGATTTTGGAGACCTCGAAGTCGACGGGACAAAGCTCTACCGGCGATTTGAATATCTCATCCTTGGACCAAGGTTTCAGGTTCATTTTTGGTTGGGGCCTTATTTGGAATTTCCAGGAGCTTCCGGAGAAGACTGCGCCACGTCGGGCTGGCTATAGGCGCCTCGCGCATTGGGTAATACTAGAGCCTTGCCTTAAATGACTATCTAGTTTAATCTCATATAATCTCTAATCATTATATGCATGAGCTTAATCAAGTGATTTTAGAGAAATAATTGGGCCACCGAAACCCTGGCCCCTCGCGAACTTGTCTCACCATCCGGTCAACGTTTCCTCTATCACAATTTCCACGCGGATGAGCCGAACAATGCCGGCGGTCAAGAGTATTGCACCGAGATCAGGGTAATTATTTTCAAATATGGATTTTATTAGGTTTTATTCAGATGTATTCCTATGATCCGCCTCACCATCCCTACTGGAACTATTCGGGTATATGGAACGACTATAACTGCGATTACAAGCGCCATGCTTTCATATGTGAAACGTATCTATTTGGAAAATTAAGTGCTACAAAGACGCTCTAAATATAATTGTTCATTGCGTTTTTTGGAAGTGTATTGTATTTATAAACTTCAAAGGCTCGATACCTAATATTTATCAAGCCGAATCTCGCAAATGAAATACGTCGTCTGGGTGCAAGAGATGCTGAACCAGGTGTTGGCCCATTTTTTACCCTAAAATTGAGGCCTGACGTTGTGATTTTCCTAAGCTCACCCTTAAAATGACGCAGCGCTCATTTACACCAGAACCGTTTCGTCCATCTGGAGCGAAATTTTCGAAAAGTCCAGTTTCGCCTCGAGGGCCGACGAATTCACGAGGGGTTCCCTGGAGAAGTATAAAAGACTTGATATGCTACTGCTTACCTCAAAAGTAGGACCCAACCAAAAACCATCTTGATCTTTGACGGTACCGTCGCGGAACGGCAGATCTAAATTACCGGAAATTTCTGAAAATGTGAAACTTACTTCCGACAAAATCGCTTTCTGCAGAACTGCCAAGGGTCAGTAGCTCTGCTCCATCGCGCTTGCAAGCCAGCTTTGCGAATTCGTGCGTCTCGCTAGTCTCCACCGGCTTAAATTTGTCAAAATCGGGGTCACCGTTTATCCTACCTTGTAACATTTAGCAAATTCCGCAGCCGGTAGCCAATCTTTTGGACATACCGTGCGAGTTTTCGCCGACAGGTGCGAACTTTGTGGATTCCTTAAAAATCAAAGAAAAATCTCTATATTCTTACTGGCATTTCTCATTCGCCTCACCACTCAACAAATACACGTAAAAAGTGGCCGCAAAGCAGTAGACCAGTAAAGACAGGGCAATCCCGAGCAACCACGTGTTGACGGCGCCTCGACCGCCAAGATTTGGCCTTGGAATAAAGGATTCGCGGTCGCTGAAACGGATTTGCATCTCGAACTGTTTGGAGGTCATGTCAACTAGGCGGTGGAAAGATTTTTGCCTGCCCTTATTTCATGGTTCCCAGACAGGAAATGTTTTTCCTTGCGTAATATGCAGTCCTGATGGTCTGCTTGATTGATGGGGCTGATAGGAAGTTATCTTATTCACCACAATTATGGGTGCCTTGTACCGATCAGACTCTATTTCAGAAAGGGAAAATTGTTCATGACTCATCGAGACAATAGAATAAAAAATATATCAACTAAATTGAGCAACTAACTTCTCAATTTGGAAGGCCTCAATCTCCATGTCCAGAATATAGATAAATACAGAAAGTGTGTAAAACCGGCTCGAATTAAGTAATTTTTTTACTTTCCCGTCGATTTGGCTTACCGGTCAGGACGAAAATCTTGACGTGTCCACACCCATTCACTTTCCCTGTCTTCTCTCTCACTCTCAGCTGTTTACCACCAACGCGCAAAAATCGTGGCCTATGTTCAGCAGCAAGAACGACTACCCCACACCTGGTCCGCAAAAAACAAAGAACTAGTTTAACTCACGGCATAACCCTTTTATATGATGTGCTAAGCCACAAGGTATCTATCCATATTTAATAATGTACAAAAATTATGAAAAAACTGTACATTTCTAAAACTATTCGAATTTTTGCTACATTAAAACCACGGCTAGACTACCTCAACGACCAGGATAATGCGATTCACCACTTCCTGAATGGGAACTGCTGATCCAAAAATCAAGGGGGCCCCGTCTTCCTCAAAACAGACCCAACTCCCAATCCAGTGCCCTGACAATGTTTTTGATTGTTATGATGATTACCTCGACGAAGTTGGCGGTTATTCCGGATTTGTTTTCAGAAACAGCTAACGCTCTTGGGATTTGTGAAATCCGCACCGGATCTTGGCGGATGGATTGAATAAATTCTTATCTTGTTCGCGATTTGCACAGGGGCTACACCTGACTGAGGACGCGCCAAACCCTCCCAAATGCGCTTTGAATTTTTGCGTATCGTCCACGCATCGCTCGACATGGTCATGTCAAAATTTACATCGGTGAACTTCCGGAAAACCCTCGGATCGCATGCAAAAAGGTTTCGTTCCCATTCAAAATGTCAAAACTATGACAGGGGCTCGACTCGTACCGACCAATCAATTAGTCACCTACGAAAAATGGGGTACCACCAGAGTGCTATCGCTTTCCGTCGATTTCCTGATCAATCGATCACTTCGTTCGTTTTTGCCATCAGCGCAAGGAAAGGGTTTTGTGCAAGGAAAACCTGAACACAGCTGTTGTAAGGCTATATAACCCCTAGTGGGTGTCTAAACAAATTATTCTGCCACCAAAACTGATCAATGATGCCTCCGCTATATGGTCAACTTGAAGCAGAGGCTTTCATTACACAGAAAAAGCCTAAAAAACGTACCCTTGGAGTAGGAAACAGCTTTTTAATAGGGCTGACCTTATCGTTGTTGATTTACAATTCAGGGGCTACGTTCTATTTGTATTTACTGGCGCATGAAGCGGATTTCAAATGCAGGTATGTAGATTTAACAACCATCTTCTCTTATCTATTCTTTCCCCCTCTCCCTCTCCCCTCTCCCTCTCTCTCTCTCTCTCTCTCTCTCTCTCTCTCTCTCTCTCTCTTTCTCTTTCTCTGTCCAACTCTGCTCCTCAATGCGTCTCTCAGTCTCAAATATTCAAGACAAGTTGAATTTAGGAACCCAGAAATATTTAACGAAATGCCGAAGTCAACGACGATGAACTTACCGACAACTTTGAAGCCCACCACTGAGGCCGTCACGTCACCGAAGTCGACGACTGTCCCAGCTGCGACGACAACCACTTCGACAGTTGCATCGACCACTCCTTTTACCACGCCAGCAACAACAACAAAGCTTTCTACAACTACACCAGAAACTACGACAACAACCGCCTGGACGACTACACCGTCAACCATAAAGACAACTAGTTCGACAACGACTTCGAAGCCTACTACAACATCTACATCCGTCTCTACCAAAGCACCAACATCTGGTTCCCAACATTGTCCGGAAGGATGGATCTACAACCAGCAATTTTCTAAATGTTACAGGGTACAGTAAATTTCACACAAAATCTCAAAAGCTACCTTTGAAGCTCTTCCGAAAAACCGCTGATTATTATGGCGCTACCAAAGCCTGTCAGAGCATCGACGGTGAGTTGCTGACGATTGGCAGCGCAGAGGAAAATCAGGCGGCGTTGGGTAGGTACTGGTTAGGATTGGCTCTTCAATAGCCCTTTAGAGTTCAACTTCGATGGACATCTGTTGGTGACCGAGTATCCGGTATTAATGCTGGGCCCAAGATTTAAGGTATGGTGCGCTCTTTGGCCGAATTACAGATTTGATACGCCTTTTAGGGTGATCCTCGACAGCTGGAAGGTACCAAGGGTGAGAAAGGTCTCTACACTCGCTTCCATCCCGTCGAACCGAACAATGTGGGAGGTGTGGAAAATTGCATAGAACTTTGGGTAAGGTATCTCATCAATGACGGACAAAAAAAATATTTAGACCTACGATGCTAAAGGCGCGCACACCGGCCTCTGGAATGATGTTAGCTGCGATACCACACGGCGTATGTTTGTTTGTGAGAGGTATGAAAGGCATTATAAGGTATCCTCACAAACGACGGATAGCATTGGGGAAGAAGGAAGCAACTAGTTTTCAGACCATCTGGTGATTTTCCTGTTGAAACGACGACGAAGCCGCCGAAACAGGCGACACCTGCGAAACCCTCAGACCAAAAATGCCCTGAAGGATGGATCCACATGGACGCATTTTCAAAATGCTACATGGTATGTGTTATAAAACTTTTTCTGAAAACACACAAACATCAGGCTGGGTTATTTTAAAAATTGCGAAAATCAGATTGTCGCAATTTCATAATGTCGAAATGTCATAATGTCGAAATTCAGAGTGTCGAAATTTACATAAGTGAAAACACCAAATCCAATGCAAAAAAATTTCGACATCTTGAATTTAGACTTTATGAAATTTCGACATTATGAAATTTCTACATTATTAATTTCGAAATCATGATAGCAATTCCATTAGGCCGCATACAGCGGTTTGAACTCTCGATGATAAGACGGAATTATAGCCCTTTGCCGAAGCGTCAACCTACGAAGAGGCAGCAAAGAAGTGCGGTTTGCTGAATTCGGAATTGTTGACGATCGAGAGTTGGCAGGAGAACAACGCTGTGGCCGGTAGGTCACTGGTAGAAAATTCAGACTATTTTACTTTACTTCTAATCGGTTAACTTTAGAACTTAAAGTCGATGGCGAATTATTCCGAAAACAATGGGTCAGATTATGGCTTGGCCCCAGGTTTCAGGTTGGTATCAATAAATGCAAGAAACCCTTGCGCTTTAGAAAAATACGCGCATGTTGCTGACACCAAAGAACGAACCGGTGCACTACACCAATTTCTATTCAAACAACGGCTATGCTGAGCCGAATAATGTGAACGACAGCGAGGATTGTATCGAGTTTTGGGTATGACGATGACTTCTGTTCATCATCTTATCTTTCTTTGAAGAAACTCGACTACAAAGAGCCCTATCTGCCAAACAGGAATTTTACGAAGACTTGGAATGATGTATCTTGCGATGGAAAACTCGATGCATTCATTTGTGAACTTCATCTTTAAATCGGTTCCCGTTGTTTTTATCGCATTACGGGCCTTACTATTTTTTTGCACATCCTTATCGACCATAGTCTCGCCCATAAAGATGTCGGCTCTAGGTGAATGACGGCGGGATACCAGAAACATTGCTATAAGCTTGGATTCGATTTCGATTCCGATTCTAACCCATTTCTGAACTTGATTTATACATTCCATAAAACCAGCTTTTTTTTGACGCCACAATAAACCCTAATTTACCTGAAAATTTTATCACGAATTTTTTGAGAAAGTGCCGGTTTCTGAAGCCGTGCATGTGCATAAATTCTTAGCAAGTAGAGCTCGTCAAAAATCATAAAATCAACCTGTGTTAAAATTCTGGCAAAGTAACGATCGTCCGCTTTTCGTTGCCCCTAGCAAGATATTTCAATGCAAAGTGTGGGCTTTTTTCTTGCGCACCCTGTATCATGCCTTGGTTAAAATTATCGCCATTAAAAAGATTTGTTGTTCTGCATCAGGTGGCCGCTCGGAAATGCATAACATCATTTCTCGAGAATTGTCGACCTGGTATTGGTAACTCGTATTTTCCTTGCCGTTTCGGCCTGACGGAACGGGATGAGCGGCCGGTTATTGATTGATGAGGATGGTGATGGTGGCGGTAATGTATTGCAAGGGCAAGATGTCGACCAATTATTGTCTTGCCAGGAACCCCCAATGTACCAGCAGGGACCCCATGAATGTTCAATGTTTCGTTTCACCCTTCCTTTGCCGAATTGGTTGTTCACATCCAATGGGTTATGTGGTTGCGTTGTTTGATTATTCGTCAAGTCCATTATTGAAGCAGAATGGCCACCTTCTTGGAATTTTGAAAAATGGGTTCATAGTGATTCAGAAAAAGACGGCCAGAATTTAAAAAATGGAGTTGAATATAAATATTGGTAAAAATTACGACTAGAATTTACTTTACAACCCCGACACGGTGCCAAAAAGTTTTTGGCTATAGCTTTTTCATATTCCATTGGTTTTGGCTGTCATTACAACGCGTGATATATTGATTGATGCTCTATCGAGCGGCGTGGCGGAAATCCCGAAAAAATAGCGGAAATGTCGAAGAATTTTAGGACCCGCTGGCTGGGGGGGAAGTAAGGTCTAGTCAAGCTTCGGACAACTTCATTCGGTGGACCGAAATGCGACAAAATTAATGTAAAGCCAGTCTTTTAGATCCAAAAAAATGCCCCCGAAATATGGACAACTATTGACAATTGACTCGTCCGGAGGATGCCCCAGGCTTCAAACGCCCGCTGTCCGAAACTTGCTGATCATTTTGATGCTGTCGACAATGATCTATGCTTTTATAGTGACCGCTTGTATCCATTATCTTCGTCGCGGCTCTGCGGAATTATGTGGGCAAGTTGCAACCCAGGGCTTTTCTACTTCAGATTCAGAGTCCCAATGACAACGACAAAAATTGTTACCTCCGGATTCTGCCCAAAAGGATGGATACCTGAAACTAGACTTCTCAAATGTTATAAGGTAACGGAAACCGCTGAACCGCCGTCAATTATGCATCCGGTTCAGCCATTTATACGACGGGTACCGTACGAGATTGCTGCGCAAAAATGCCGCACACTTAATGCTACGTTGCTAACAATCAACAGCAGGAATGAAGATTTTGCCATTTTGAGTAGGCGACGATCAAAGGGCGTTATTTTCCTTAAATGATCAGACATGATCGTCGATGGGGAGCCGTGGTTTCGCAGGGGCGGAAGTCTGATACTTGGCCCAAAATATCGGGTATGATTAGCCTGGATTCGGTATCAAAACTTTGAGCTTTGACTGATATAATGAAAATTTGTCGTTTCCTCGTCATTACCAGTCATGCAAACGGCTAGTATGCGGACCTCTCCAAATGTCGGATATCGGCATTTCACAAATCAGAATCCGGAATTTAATGTCGAATTTTTGGGGCTTCCTAATTGCAGAACCTCGAATTTCATAACCTTGAAAAACGGGGTTTGTCTTTTCTGAATCCCGAAATTTCGACAGGCTGAGTCTAAATTTTTCAAATGCGGCGGTCTGATTGGGATCCATATCGTACATATATCTGCACACTTTAGGTAAAAGGAGCCTCTCCAGAACGAATATTGGTCGCTCCGAACGGCCGTCGTGATGACCTCTATACGAACTTTGCTGCTGGGGAACCAAATAATGCTGGCGCCTCGGAAAGTTGCGTCGAAGTCCGGGTAGGTAGCGGTTTACTCCGCAACTGTGTGTATTGCTTTTCAAACAACGGCAACAATACAGATTTAGATGTGGCAGTACGACCAACAACCGTTTTCCAACTATTCAGGCCTGTGGAATGACTATGATTGTGGCTGGGAAAGGAGTTCTTTCATCTGTGAATTGCCGTTGTCCGCGAAACAACTTTGAGCTATCGAAAATTTGCGAAACGGTTGCGAATAAAGATTCCTGGCGCGATGTCAAACTCGTGGCGCCCATAATTAGAAGCATCACAATTGTTAGCTTCGGCATCAATTCGCATATCTATACAATAGCATTTTAGTCGGTGCCGCGACAATTGCACCGCCACATTTGGGCCGGCGACACTTACTCCGCGACAATTGCGCCTCGATACCTATTGAAGATGCAATCTTTCGCGCTGGTTCCGAATTTGGTAAAAGAAACGATAGAAAGGTGGTTTTGCTATAGGAGTCACCCGATTTGGAGGGAAGGTGATCGCTACTTTTCCGCGCTGCGACTAGAAAAAGGCTTCGCGCCACCCGGGGTCTAGTCGCTTCGGCTGGGTGCGAGCTCGTACAGGGTTTCGAAATCGGGGCGCCCGAGGCGCACGTAGCGGCAAGAAACGCTCTTTTTGTCCCGCCATTTCGAGAGGTTTCGAAAGGTGTAAAAATCATCTTTCCTAATTTTTCTAATCATCAGCTTTTCGGGCCGCTAGAGGGATCGATTTTTTTTGGAACATGCTATGTCTAAACCTACCTTTAAACCCTTGCACTCTTTAAGAGCTTGTGTCCGCTGCACGGACCTTTTAGATACCTTGAACTCAGGCGAGCACGTGTTTCTCAGAACACACGTAAATCGCCACCCTGCAAGGAAAATACAAGTCCTTTTCGGTCTCCATCGCCCTGTAAAAAGTACGCGCCCCGCTCACATCATTCCTCTCCAGCTCCAAATGATAAATCTCCGAACTCCCGGCAAATTTCCGAGAAAGAAACCGGATTTCCCCTCGAATGCCACATTAGCGCTATCTTGTGTGGTGCTATTTGTATATTCGGTGATTTTCACCTGCTGTATAGCCTACCTGAGCCGGGATGGGGATCGGCTTTGCGGGTGGGTGGCCCTAGTCTTTCTTGCACGGTGTTTCCTAGACGTCAGGTAACCGCGCTCGAATTATTGGAGTCTGGGCGCTGTCCCACCGATTGGGTATCGGCACCACAATTTCGGAAATGCTACTGGGTATGTCGGACGTGGTTTGTCGATAAAGTCGAAAATTCATAGCATCGATCTTTCATGATTGCGAAATCCACGAAGGCGCTATTTCCGGATGTTGCGATTTCGATCTTCGAACCTTTGGCATTGTGTTTAGGATTGCGAGACTATATAATCTCCACATCCTAAATTTGTATTTTATGAATTTTTGGCCGTAATTTCGGTGTTGCGAAATCCCAACGCTATAAATTTCGGGATCCTGATAGCGTATCGTTGGAGGCCTATGCCTTTACAGCCAGCTGCTGTTCGTGAAATTTAACACGGGGATAGGGTGTCATCAGCGCCTTTTATGGCATGAATACCGTAAGCCTAAACTATGAACGATGACTTTTCAGCCAGATTCGGTCGCAAATCACACGACCGGGATAAAGCGCTGCCAGTCACTCGGGGCGAAAATGTTAACAATCAATGGTCCAGAAGAGAATAAATTTATCTTAGGTAAGAGCACAAAATTCCAGTATTTTCATGCTGGTACTACTCGAGAAATGTCTCAAAACTTTTAGAAATGGAGTATGATGGGGATCCGGTTGATTTTCAAGGCTATATCTGGCTTGCGCCAAAATTTGAGGTTGGCTTCTCTCCTTTTTTTTGCTAAAAATGTTTAATGTTGTGACTTTGGGGAAATAATTTATTCAAAATTCGTGACATAAAATTAAATTATTTAAGTTATCGTTTTAGCCGTCGCGCAGCACACTCCCTGGCCGCTTGATCGGTTTGGATGGCGAAGAGCCTGCCTACCAAAACTTTGGCCCTGGTGAGCCAAATAACCACGGGGGGAACGAGGACTGTATTTTCTTGAGGGTAGGTTAATGACAATTGCCAGCCAAGCTCTAAAAATCGTCAAATGTGATGAATAACGTTTCTAGGGCATCGAGGTGGGACAGTACCTGGAATGACGAGCCATGCTCGCTACTGGCCTTCGTGATCTGCGAACTGCCGCTAATGTCAGGAGCCAAAGACTACGAAAAGAACCCAAAAACCCATTCCGTAACCCCCCCCGCGCCTCCCCGGGCCCCCCCCAAAAAAATTTTTTACCCCCCCAAAAAAAAAAAAAAAAAAAAGATGTCCGATATGTTTTTTTTTGTTTTCCATTGGTGGATGTAATTAAAAGTTATTGACCGACGAATTGATTTTACTTCTGATTAAAACTTTTATTCGACGAATTTAATTCGCATTATTTTACTTTTCATATTGTTCGTAGTAAGTGACCCAGCGGCAAAAGTTATCTTCGTATGTCTCCACTGTCGTGCACTTTTTCCAGGCTTTCTGAAAAATTTGATGTAATTTTTCGTTATCTCCTCAAAATTTTTTAAGAAGCGTTTTTAGGGCTGCAGATGCAAAAATCCAAGTCAGACTTCAAAAGCCTACCTCATACGTCATCCCTAACTTTTTCTGGAAATCCGTCGAATAGGCGTACGGTAGCTCATGGTCTACGGTATTACGGGTGTAGAGAAATTTGAGGCGGCGGCCCTGCAAAAAAACTAACGTAATCAGATATCAGTCACTAACGAGTTTGGGTAGGTCAACAAAAAAAAGTTGTGTCTCTCTGCCAACCTTAGCTGTTCCATTGGCGGTATCCTTGAAGTCGTCCCAGGCTTGCGTGCTCCACTTGATTAGTTGAGCACTAAAAATTACAGGTTTTAAATATTATACCGATACGTGTTCCATAAAATAGAACTGGCTGCCGATAGCGCAAATACTTACTAGTATAGAGCGCAAAATGAGATGACGATCGCGATGAGGATGGCTAGTAAAAACAGGCAGAAAGTCTTCATAGTGGGGCATATTCGGGAGGTGCTGGAATCACGCTGCTTGTAAGATTTCGGAAAAGTAAAATCCATATCCGACGTCGCTGGTACGAAAATCAAGGTCGCTTACCGCTTCTTCTGCACGTCATACGATCCGGAAGCCATTTCCTGAATTTGGTGGTTGGGGAATTGGAATGGATTCGGGTTAGCCGCTGGCATCTTGGATGATTGTTGTTATCATGCATTCGCCCTGAAATACCCCGGGGCGTCAATTGTTGGCATTAAGGATCGGATGATATGTCGCGAGGTCAAGCGGCATTTCTCGCGGATTAGCAGGGGCGTGTGGGGTTATCAATGGCGCCGGAAAAATCGTTAAGGTAAGTTTTGGCATTAATGAGGGCTGTGGAGAGAGAAGGCAGAGATAGAGAGAGAGAGGGAGAGAGAGAGAGAGAGAGCTTGTGCGCCAGAGATTGGGCGAGAGATTTAGAAGGAGGGAAAAAAAGAGTTTTTTTTTTTTTTTTTTTTTTGAGAGCGAGAGCCCTTTTTTTTTTAGATGCAGATATAGATAGAGAGACAGAGCGAGAGAGAGAGACAGAGAGAGAGAGAGAGAGAGCGAGGGAAAGATATTTATTTTTAATGCAACTTTTGGCATTTAGATTAGTCATCGCACGCCCTGGGGTTTTTTTATACAAAGTTACCGGAACGACCATTCTCCCATGGTTTTCCCAAGATCATTTTTCCCCTAACCTGGTTACCAACCAGTGGCACCTGGCCAATTTTGGAGCCCCGGAAAATTGGCTTTCCACAACGGCCTGACTCTCGACGACCTTGTCCCCATATTGATCCCCCTGTGAGCCGGAGAGTCGGCCGGATACCGCAATGTTTTTCGTGATAGCGTCCTAAAATCAAAATTATCGGCTTCGTACTGCTATGATGCGTGTATTTTTGTATGTTTTGTATGGCTTATTTGGTGCCGCGATTTCCGGCGGTGATGACGCGGGTCCGCCGATGCCAGGTAAAATTGCAATACTTTCGAGATTTTTTAAATAACCTTTTCACGTGAAAAGATACCTTTAAAGTAGCCGTATGTGATAGTTTCATCAAAAAAAATTTTTATTTCGAGCTTTTGACCAAATAATAAGATATTTTAGACCACATTAAAGTGGATTTTCAGTCGGCGGCACTTACCATTTTTCCAAAACCCTCGACCGCTTCCATTTGGTCAAGGAAGAAAGCCGGAGCGAAGAAAACTTCATATTCGAATTTTTAGGATCAAATTGGGTAGGTATCCTTAAATCTCTGTATGTCTTTTGAAGTACCATCAAAATGCCACTGCCCGAAAAGGAATGCGCATTGCCATCGAGGAATTTAATAACATCATGGCGCCCGTATACTTCCGGAACGAAGAGTTGGGATCTGACGATTTTGAGTATACCTCAAAAATCAACGTATTTACGCTAATTTTTAGGCTACTTGGCACTAGTGATAAGGAGCTGGAATATGTCGTTCCGAGAGACCGCGTTTTTATGGAGTAAGCGTTAAGTGCGTAGTACTTAAGCCCGTTTTAGGTATACAAAAACTACTGGTGACTTTAAGGGACTCATCACAGAGGTGAATATACCAACAGGTTAGTGGAAAGTCTGGTATTTTAATGGCAGGCTTAGGCTGTGATTGCGCTCCGATGAAAGAAACTTTTATGAATGGGACGATTGTACATTTTTTGATCAATCAGACAGTTCGATTGGTTAGTTTGGGTTCTCTCTCCTCCCTCTCTCTCTCTCTCTCTCTCTCTCTCTCTCTTTCTCTCTATCTCTCTCTCTTTATTGTGCATATTTAGGGCTGCCCTGCAATTGCCTGTTCTTGGAGCCCAATTATCGATGACGTCGAAAGAAAAATAAAAATCAAATACACAGCCGCCCTACATGCCGATGATACCTTCTACATCCGCTTTAATAGAGAGCATAGAGAATTGTAAGTTTTAATTTTAGCTTAAAACTCCCATATATTTAGGCTAAATCGCACCCAGACCAAACCAAGCATTGTCGAGTTCGAAAGCGAGCTGTTTGAATCGCGAATTTTCTACGCCGCCACTGGCGAGGGCGAGGACAATGAAGCGGCCAATTTCCTCTTGGAAATCAGTTACGACACAAATTTCGCAAGGTGTTTATCGATTTTTATGTCCATTTTAGGTATATTTATTACACTTTTGTACTGATAAATACATCAAAATTAATTGGTGAGCAATTATTCGGGTGCAAATGGTGATTTATCGACCGGGTATTGGTAGTAGGCCAGCCAGTGGCAGTAGTCGAGGAGTCGGAGTTTCAGTTTTGGCAGCGTCGAGGTTTTACATTTTTCGAAGGCTTCCTAAAATAAATAGTTTGGTAGTAAAAATAAAAATAGCAAAAATTGACCTTTTTTTAAGAATTCATTTTAAATATAATTTAAATATAGTTCCAAATTGAAAAATAAATGTTAAATTTAAATTACCTTATACGGAATGTCAAATCTTTCTTCAAATTCTTGCTTATTTCCATGGCTGATATCGCGATCATAGGAGCCACTGAAAATATCGATGTAGCAAAATATTTTTGATTGTAAATTCATTAAATATGTATTTTTTAATTAAACTAACTTTTCCACCGGTTTCGCATAAATATAAATAATTAGGCAACTGCAAAAGATGGTGAATACAAGCTTGTTCATGGCCGGTTTCTCGCGATGAGCTTGATAGGCGATTTTCGTTAAGATTTGCTTCTGAAAAAGTGTATCTAGCTTTAATCTAATATCTTAGAGTAAAGATAAGGAACAAAATATACTACAAAATACACAACCAAAATATAGCCACTTTGGCGACCAAAACAACCAGTTTCCTGGCTCGGTCAAGGGGTATAAATATTGCCGTCCATGCCACCGGGAGCGTGCCAAAAACGAGGCCACAAAAAATGGTCGGGGGAAATAAACTAAAAGAAGGGGGAGGCAGGGGAAAGAGGGATGAGTAGAGGCAAAAGGAACTGTTTATCATCCCCCAACCATCATATTGCGCTGTCCCTCATTTGTCATACGACATTTGATATGGCACGTGGAGGAGGCTGATTGCGAAACAATAATTTGCATCATGGCGATCAGTTAGAGAGGGAGAGAGACAGAGAGAGAGCAAAGTTTTCTTGATTTGGATGATGTCGTTTTCGAGCGTTTCCTAGATAATTGCATATGATATTTTATTCGTTTGTTTTCGACGATCCAGCGCGTGGAAGCTAATGCCATAAAACTGTTTAATTAGTTTGTTCCGATGGTTCTTGCCATCAGAATTTGTAAAACGTACGTTACTGTACAAAATAAAAATCGTTTTTTCTTCTAATGTACAAAAAATCCGAGATGTTCAAAACAGAAATAAAAATGAGGTATCAGATTCCACCCAAAAATATCGTTCCCTGTGATTCAAAAAATCCTATAACGGGCTCCAAAAGTGCATCCGTTTCTCTGAGATGCTAAAAATAGCATTTTGCGAAAGTTGTATTCATGCGGTTAAAAAAATTGAACCTCATAAATGAGCCAGCGATTCCACGATTTGATCAAAAACCGGAATATTTTTTAGCTTACAAATCCCTCTGGCTATGTAGCATTGATTAAATTTAATGGCGGTATATTAATGGAACTTTTAATTATTCATGGCGAATTCTCTAAAGTGTGCCCGAGCTAGAAAGATCCTTTTCTATTGCGTTCCGCTCTCTCCCCCCTGGCTTTCCGCCCCCGATTCGATAGTACGTATTTATTTGCACTTTCTTGTCGAAATTTATACACTCAAATTGCGAAGGGGACAATGACAATGGGCCAGCCACATTTTGATGAGGGATTTGTACTGTAAATACGGGATTTCAAGGGATCGATTTTGCTTGGTATGCTAGCTGCAGATCTATGGTTAGCCCTCTTGGTTCAGGTCGAGTCGTACCAAGCCGACGCTTGTTTCCATTGGCATGAACGTTTTCCAGACGTCGACACTGGAATTTTAGGTTTAAAGGGATGGTGCCAGTAAGTTTTTTTAAATAGCATTAATCAGGTATGAGGTAATTGGTAGTAAAATTTACTTAAAAAAATTTGAGACGCGATGCTATAAAAACGAGGCTTTTTTAATTTGAAAGTAATTTTACATTTTTAAATTTCTAGAACTTTGTTTTGTAAAACTTACATAGTTTTTCGATGCGTAATGGCTACAGTATGCCCAACGTAAGGGCACCGATGCTCTACCACGATATAGGGATCTGGGTCGTTCCAAGGCCCGAAATCGTCGCCGCAGCCTTCTACCTAAATTTTTAGAGCTTTTAGCTGATTTTAGTTATCGAATTATGTAATAACATGAAATATTTATATACATCTTTGCCGTTATTGGTTTACAACGGCACGCGCCTAAGGAAAATTAACAAAACTTCTTACATACCACAAATTTCCCGTCGATATCAGTGTAAGTCCGTCCCATCAGGTCGTCGGATTCCCATGGAAGGCCTAGAGCAATATTTAGCATCATTAACAAAATTACACAACGCTAAATTTTAACTATGACTCACTATCATGATCATACAACGAGATCCGGACCCTCTGGTGCCGAAACGTATCCGTATCGCATCGTACTTGCCCGTGAGCCCGTACACATCTCGTCGCGGCATACGCTCCACAGCAAAACACACCGAAAAACAATATCCGCATCATGTTCTGAATAGGAAAATGAGCACTTCTGCAAGAGGCCATGGAATTGGAAAAGCCGGGTTTGGGTGCAAGTTCAAACGGGCGGGCGGTTCATATGAAATTCACGGCACGCAAATGGGGGTCGTTTTGGAGCGGAAAACAAGAATTTGGAGGATTGCCAAGCCTGGAATAGCGTAAAATTTGGATCGGGTTTTGTTGATGGAAATGTCATTCACAATTTATGGAACAAAACGCAAAATGCTGATTGAAAATAAAAATGGTGTGAAACGATTACGACATGAAAAACGATGGAAAAGAAACTAAAAATATTTGAGAATTCTTAGCAATATTCAATAAGTTTTAGGAACTAAAAAATTGTAGACACTTTTATACGAATTCTAATTAAATTTACTAAAAAAGCGTATAAAGTATTAGAAGTTTTTTTAAAGCCATAGAGAGCGCAAAATTCCCAAGCTGCCTTGAATGCCACCCCTGGAATTTTTGCTGGACGCGCATAAAATTTTTACCGCGGCGTTCCGCCTGGTTTTTCAGATAGGGTTTTCCTTATCAGGTTTTTTGGCCTCGGGATCAAGAAGAACAGACTGAAAACCCGCGGAGGGGAGCAATTATTCTGATCGGGGGGTGATTGAATGGGAATGTATTAGGTTTGGGGGCCTTCCGGGCCGATCGGAGGCTGATAAGGACAATTTGGACGCAGAGAGAGAGAGAGAGAGAGAGAGAGAGAGAGAGAGAGAGAGAGAGAGAGAGAGAGAGGACCGAGGCTCAGTGTGTTTGTATGTATGTGAGAAACGGGGAAGTGATATTTGATCCTTGAAATTCGGTTTATTTATATAGGGAATGGGGGTCGATGTTATCGAGCTTATCGGGGAGGTTTTTGCCTATTTTGAATTTGAAGGCGGTAGCCGGGATTGCAAAATTTCCACGTGCCTTTCATTATAAAATGTATAATATAAACACGCTTTTCGATATAACGCGGAACCCTTTAGTCAATAGCTATACAAATCGATAAATTAACGGAATCGGATCGGATGGCGTGCCCCAAGTTGATGTGTTGTCTTCAAAACCGTAGTTGAGCGTCGTTGAGGTGGCTTGCTCGGGGGAGCAATGCCGTGAGGAGCGGGTTCTAAAAATGTCATTTTTGATGGTTATGTGGGTGCTTTCTTTGCGCTCAAAACACAGCCCAGAGCACACAATTTTTTGTGAGATTCGTTACTTGACAAAAGGGCTGCGGGTGTGAATTATTTCAACGCGAAGCCAAACTTGGATAAGTTTAAAGGATTTATTAATCACGTAGTTCTATTTTTATTATATTAAAGGTTTATATTTTTGCATGATTCGTAATTTATCTTTTTATTTCTAAAATTTATTATTGTATTACATTTGTAATACTTTGCAGAACGTTTCGAAGTCGTACCTTTTCGCCATAATTTGCAGGCATTCGGCACTGTACAGGGGGAGAGGAAACAGTTTCGGTATTTGTCGGTTCTCGTTCGCTCTTCCTCTTCTCGCCTAAAAACAATCGAAGAGTTAAAACCAACGGTAAAAAGACATAATATATACAAAATAATTATTAAAAACAAGACGTACTTTTGCGCAACCGCGTTCAACAAATGTAGTCGTTGGCGGAAGCTTGCGCTGACGCGAGACCTGTAAAATTCAAATAAACAATGGACAACACTACTTACTAGGCTTAGGCTTAGGTTTAGGCTTAGGCAAAGGCTTGAAGTGAGCTTATCTGTACTTAAAGTGAGCTTGAAATTATATGATCCTGACCTGGCCACTGGGTTCATTTGCTGCAAGTTCCGGCGCTGCTGCAAATTCTCGAAAATTGCACTCACAGCGGCGATTAGGGAGATGAGGACGAGTATCCGACCAAGCATTATTTCTATTTTTGACCCTAAAAGGGACAAATATTATCAGTTTAAGTGATCAATTTTAGTAACCATAAGCGAAAAATCATGAGCATGAAAAAGGCGCTGGATGGAACAGAATGGACGAGCGATGAAATCAACTGAACCGCTTGAATGTTTTTGACAGACGCGAACATAAAATGGAACTTTTACGACAAGAACAGCTGGTGAGCATGAAAAAATTAGAGCAGATAAAAAGTCCAAAAAGGTAGTAGTGGTGTTAAACCGGCCTCAAATAATAAAACTTAAAAATAAGGTAGATTATTCCAAAACCTTGACGCTTTCCTTGGTCCTGCCCAAATTAAAGACGTCCCAACGCTTTCCACAAATTTCCGTTTCCAAGAAACCAAATTGCAACAATCCCGAACCCCCATTTTCTCAAGTTTCTACCCACGCGCTTCCCGGAAGTGTGGACGAAGACACAGCACAAAATGTACACCTTGAAAGTTAGCAGATAGCCGAAGTTGGGCTCGATTCTCAGATTCCCCGGCTTAATAAGCGCTTTGCAGCCGGGGAGAATGGTCAGCTGAGAGGTGGTACGGTAACGAAAAAGTCAACATGTGCTTCTTTCATATCCCTGGAGAGAGGATAAAAAGCTAATTTCCACGGTTTCAGCCGTTTTTCCAACAAGTCCTGATCCTCTCCTAGCACGGGGGGAACGCTGGAGTGACGGTGAATTGGGTGCAAACACCGATATTCCAAATAACAACAGTCTGACGTCAGAAATTAGCGAAAAATTTTTGGAAAGTGGGTGTACCACGGTTTATTGAAAAGTCGGGATTGTTTGTGTATTTAAAGGCTTAGAAAAAATTGGTGGTAACCGACTTTTGTGCTTACCATCCAATTTTCGCGTAATAACGTTTACGTAAAATAGAAAAATTTTCCAAACTGTTTTTCTACTCCAAAGTTTGCAGGCTTTCCTAACGAATCCAAAAATATCGATTTTCGGGGCAAAAGGGGCCGTTTTTTGCCCTATTTTCTAAAAACCTATTAAAGATTTACACTTGAAATGTGGTTCTTGCTAAAAATAAAATTAAGCTAATCCGTCTATTAGGCTATTACGCTACTAGGAATTAATAAGCTATACAAAGAAAATCGGTTTCATCGGCTTTTGATGATGCGGAAGGACCAAAATAAAGTGACGTAGCTTCAAAATTTTATTTAAAAACGAGCGTGATCTAAGTTTGAAGACCTTGTCTGCAAAAGGCCTACCTGTTAATTAAGTCCTTTCACGTTCTGTTTTTTTTTCAAAAATTACGTCAAAGCATTCGGAATTTTGCAAAAAATCCACTACAAGTGTACACCCAAAATATCCAAATTAAGGCTCCCCTCCCCCTGGTGCTCAGATTTTCAAATGGCATTTGGCAGTGGACCGCCGAATAAATGAGGCGTGGATACGAGGAAGAGTAGGGTGAGTGAGTGGGTGTTGTGAGTGTGTGGCACGGGCCGGGATTTCCCGGAAAAAAGGGGCCGGCCGACAAATCTAAGCACCCAGGCCCGGATCACACAGGTGCAAATTAGCCGGCCAACGAGGAGGCTTGGCTGGCTGCAGCCACGCCATCTATCTAGCGTGTGAACCAGGAAATGCCTGAATGGGTGAGGTGACCGGAAAAACTAGTGTTTTTACCGTGTGCAGGTGATCCTGCGAACACCTGGTGGTTGACATTTTTGAGATCAGGAAAAATGGCCGGAGATCTGCGAGTCGGTTAAAATTTGGGAGTGGTTTTAATGGTTGTTTGCACAAGTAACTGGGCTAAATTACCTAGACGTCTCAAGCCGCGATTTTTTTGACTTCCTATGACCTTTAAACTGATTTGCGAGCATAATGCCGAAACTTATGAGGCGCAAAATTATAATGCCAAAGCTCATAGTGTCGAAGTTCTTAATGGCGAAATTCATAATTTCGAAATTCAGAATGTCGACATTTTGGGGTTGGGGGGTTTCCGCAAAATTAGCTTACGTAAATTTTGGTATTTTGAAAGGGACCCTTTGACTTTCCAGAGCCTTTAGAATTGATTCTGATAAGCCGGGGGGACACGGTAAGTTCTATATTTATCCAAAGTTATACCTGATCACCTAGCCGGAAATAAAGTTACTGTAATGTCCAGGTGAAACCAATCGGAACTTCTTAAAGAATTCTGATGCCTTGCGGACCGAAATGGGCTGGTATCCCGAGAACCAGAGGACCACCTGATTATTCGCTATTTCAGGAGCTATCCATCCATCAGGGTTATTAAAAGGTGACAAACTATCGGGTGAAAGTGCTGCTTTTGCGATATTGACGGGGATTTAGGAAATTGCAGTTTCGCAGTTCGATTTCGGATTTCGCAAAACTGCGTGGGATCCCGAATAAAAAAACAGACGGTTGGTGTCATTCGTCGGTCGCGCGCGATCAAAAATTACGATATTACCATTCATACAGGGAAAATCCGAGCGATTTTCAAATATTTAAAGCAATTTATTAATATGAGAGGCTGATCCGGGGGCTTGGAAATCTCAGCTGAGGCGTCGGAGTGGAAAGATGAGCCGTTTTGTCATAAGTATTACCTGGGAAAGCTGCGCGACTTGAGCAGCAAAACACTTAAAAAATGGTTACGAAATAGCTTCTTCCCCGAAACAATGAATTTAGTCCATGAGATACCATAGGACGGGCGAAATGCCTAGTTCCGATAGGTCTTGTAAAGCCGCTTAAAAATTCACAAAAAAACATGGTAAACAAATTAAACAAGCAACATTCAGAAAACTAGACATAACACTCAATCCCGCGGCTGCGAAAACCGTAACGCATGCCGAAGCGAACGCAACGCTTTCAAATGGCTTTCGGGGCAGCTTCAGCGCAAAATTGCCCTAAACTAGACTCCCTAAGCGTAGGAAGCCGTCTATTTAAGCCTACCTGTTTCCTAATTCCCCATTTGCTCTCCTTCGCATCAAAATTTCCGCATGATAAACTCGTCATCAAAATAGCACCCCCTACCGTAACCCTGGACCTTGGCCGACAAAAAACCCCCCAAAAAAGGCGTCAGAATCCCCATTGTGTCCCAAGAAATGGCGTCAAAAAAATGCGCCCCAATAGTGGCCATGTGATGGGCCAGAGTCCAAAGCCTAAGCCCCGGGCCCTCCGCCTCGACGTCTAGAGCCCCGTCTCCCGAAAAATTCGGGCAATTACTGCCTGGGGCCAACAAAAAGCACATAAGTGTCTGGCGTATGGACCCGGGCGATGGGTCCATACGTTTCTAGCTCTCTCTCTCTCTCTCTCTCTCTCTCTCTCTCTCTCTCTCTCTCTTCTCTCTCTCTTTCTCTCTCTGTCTCTCTCTCGATCCGAAATGTGAACGTGCCAAAAAATATACTCGGGAACATAACGGAATTTTGCGGATTCGCGTGACGAATGGGGTGGCGTGGATTTACTAAATGAGCACAGAAAAACTTACTGGTAAATTGTGCTTTAATGAGATCGCTATACTTTTTTGATGGTGGGAAAAATTTAATCAACAGTTAGACCTGTCTGCGCGGCTAGAAAATGATGTAAAGGGGAATGGCATGGAGTGAGGTGTCGCAAAACCTTTAATCCAGAGCCTGTAAGTTTACTTAGAGAGAGAGAGAGAGAGAGAGAGAGAGAGAGAGAGAGAGACAGAAAGTAGGAGAGAGAGAGAGAGAGAGAGTGAGTGAGTGAGTGAGCGAGAGAGCGTGAGAGCTCTACAACCGGAATATTTAAAAAAACTTGTGCCCCCGAAAACTTTAACTCTTCCAATCCTTCTATACCCGTGGCACTAATTGCGCTACAAAACCCAAACAAGCATAATCGAATCCCGAAAAACCGGGGTGCGCATTGCCTGAAGCTTGGAACCTTCCGGACTAGATGATTACGCGTTGATAGGATTGCCACGGAGCGCTTGTTGTGCCTTGTGGTTGCTGTAACTTGGTGGCGTAGGTGGTCGCGGCGACGACATGGAGAAATTTGAGCCTCGCCTGGTCATGGTGACGAAGCCCAAAAATAGTTGCGCGGCTGAGCGAGGGGTGTCTAGATTGGAAATCTGAACCGCGGAGGATCTTTAAAAATCATCCTGTAAGCAACAGTCAAGATTCCTATTTAATCCATGTCCTGGAACTCTATAGTCAGCCCTTCAAAGAACCTTTAAAGGGATACCCAATGTTTTGGCGGCAAATATATAAGTTATGTATTCCGAGGAGTACAAATAACGCGCGAATTTTGTGCGGTAATGGCTGCCCAGTGCCGCCCAGAATTCGGCCTCCTCTCCCCCTTGTGGCATCCCCATCTCGATCAATGGCTTGCCACTATGGCCTAATGGATAGCATCCAGGTCTTGAAAGCGGATGTCCCGGGTTCGACCTCCGGCCGCGGCATGGTTTTTGCTTTTTGAGCTCCGCAAAGGTTGGGCATCCCTTTAAAGGGCCTTGCAGTCCGTTTTGGTCAAATTGTTGATGTTAAAAATTTGTTGTTAAAATTTTGGCCAGGTCTAAAAAAGTATACCGCATTAATGATCAGAACTTCCTGAAACAAACATCTTGAGATCCGGCAGCATTTCCTAATGTTAAAAATGCCGTGTTTATGCTGCGTCGACACATCCCTGCCATTCAATCCCGAGACAAAAGGACTGAGACGTAATCAAAAACCCGAAAAATACGAAGCCGCCATTATGGTGGTTTTGAAAACAAAACCGACGCGCACCTCACAATTTTAAAATCCGCCATTCAAGCGGAAAGACTAGGAAAAGGGCGTTGATCTCTGGAACGAGAAAGAACAAATAGAATCGGATAGGATGTACCAATCACCACCACCTGTTTCCCATCCTAGATGGTGATCTAAGCTAATTTGTGTTAATTTTATGCCCTAAAATCGCTGTAGTATTTAACTAAGATATTTATGCTTTTTGTCTTCACCACACCCTTCCATGACAAATCCTTCAAGTTCCACACTTTTTCCAACCTCCCACCCCGCCAGAAGGAGCTGTT